AAAAACTGCGTTCCCCAGTTTTCCTGCAAAGACCTTCTCGAGGCGGAATGCGGGTCACGAATGCACACACGAGGGAGGGGGAGAAAGTTTCGAGGCGTTTACACGATATTTCTCACACGTGGGAATAATGGAAGCACTTGGCACGAGTGACGACGCCGCTGACGTTAATTATCCTAATGAATGAGAATCCCTCCACCTTCGTGATTACAGCGAAATTGTCCCCGCGAAGTAGAACCGGTTCACTTCCTTCGTCGACACAGTGAAATTTTCCTATGAATCTATCGAAGAACGTGTACATGATTACAATCCGTTCGTACAACAGCAGTCCATCTAATTCTTCATCAACGGCTTGTAGTTTGTAATTGAATTGCAAGTGTAAAAGGACAACATCGTCTCTTTAATCGATTAATTTAATAACAGCATTATATTATAAATTTAAATGTAATTTTGCAAACGTAATGATTGATTTAATTTTTACGTAAAGGATCATTCTGCCAGTTGTGGAGATATTAATTTTGTGATTTGTATATAAAGTTCATTGTGTAATTGTTATTAAGTGTATAAATATTCGTTTCTCTATTTTCAATAAGATTCGGAAGTGGGAAAATTAATTATTTACACGAGGAACACAAGGTTATAATTAACAATTTCTAATTGCATCGAAGCAACAAAATTTCGTCCAATATAAACGTTCGTAGCTGTAAGACCGCGTTTACCGCGAAACACTCTTCCTTGACAATGATCTCGTTGTTGCCATCCGGCCCAGTTTCTCCGCCTCTTTTCTGGACCTTGCCCGAATTCGAGAGGAGACGGATTCACAGAGCGGGGGGAGGTGGGTAACGATAGGCGGGCGAGTGGAAGTGTTTGAGAACGCGGGGAGAGACAATGGGGAGAGGAGAAGAATGGCGTGACACGGAATTTAAGGGAGTAATCTCCGAAAATGTTGCCGGTGGAACGCGTAAAAGTAATCACATATTTCCTTGTCGTTTTCTTTTCTTTTTTCTCTTTTTTCGTTGGGAAAATGAGGGTACACACCAACCCCTGTGTGAAACATTCGCCTCGGTATCGTTTTTTTCTGCCTTATGGCTTTTCTCTTCCAACTCGTGACTTCTTAACGCGAGAATGCGATCCTCTTGGGTGGATTTTAATACGTGAAGAGGATTAAAAAGTGGAAACGACGCGTGGGGGGTTGCTTCTCGTGTTTTCTTTTTTGAAACAGTTTTGTGGTTAACGAGCTTCTTGATGTTGTGTAATTTTTTTTTTTTGTTAAAATTCACGAATTCTTTTTTTCGAAAGAATGTTGAGAAGTTATTAGGTTGGAAACGATTAGGGTCTCGAATAAAACTTGAACTAGTTTCTTCTCTTCCTTGCGTGGTGCAATTTTAATTAATTAATTATTTTATCTCTTTATCCACAAACTTTCGTTATATAGAAATTCTTCTTTGATTGAATTGTTAACACGGATGGAGCTTGGAATTCTATTATTTGGAATATTATTTGGAAGTTTGCTGTTCGAGGCAAAAATACCAATTTTCGTTTACATCCTCGAATCTTTGCACGAATTTAATGTTAACCGAAACTGTTAATCATAAATTATTTTCACGCTCGAGTCGCAACACTTTCCATCTTCCGCATCGCGAATTTTAATTAACCGAAAATAAATCCACGACGGTTTCAGAAATATCGATCGTTTCGAACACACGTGTATACCATTTTTAATCAAGATCAATTTTAAATCATTTCCGCAACGCTCCATCAACCATGATTCGTGGAAAGTTTTGGGGTTATTTATCGTTATTTATTATGCGAGCGTAGCGAAAGACGAAAGGTGGTAAATAACGAAAGTTATTTCAATGTAGGGGCCGTAAAAACGTGAAAGGGATGCGAGTGAAAGGGGGTTGACTCCGCGCCGCAGTCGGCGAATGATCCATTTTTCTTCACTTCGCGGATTTATGGCGCATTTACGTGGCCCAGACTTTTCGAATAAATCCACCCGGACGGGGATCGTAATGGAGAACCATCGTGGACCATCCCCGATCCCGGGGAAACAATGTGAAAGCCGGGCAAAAATCTTGTAAACAGAATTTCTGAAATTTCTGATGGCTCGAATCAAATTATATAGGATTACCTGTGCCATTTTATCTTTAACATCGAGGGGGGGGGGGAACGTTGCAGGAATTTTAATCATTTAATAGTTTGAAATTTCTTTATAAAATGACAACGATCATTTCAAAAACTGATTGATATACAACCGATCTACCGAATTACATCCTTAAAAAAAGATCATTGGACAAAGACATTGAACAACGTTCCATAAAACCGATATTACCAAATTTTGCTTACCAATCAAGGAACAAACGGCAATCAGCAATTCGAAATTACCGATCCTGAATTCAGAGGAGAGCCCTAATAATCGAGCGGTCCATCTCGAATTTATTAAATCGCGTGGTGTTTCGGAGGGGTAAGATAAATCTCGACGATCTCTTCCTCCTCGGCTATGCAAGCCATGAGTCGGAGGAGGAGAAACCGGTTCATTACCTTTGAATTATTCCGCGTCGAAACGCTGGCTCAGCGTCGCTCCCTCTCCTCGCGCTTTAAGGATTTTCAACGATCGACGCCCACCAACACCGGAATAATTCACATCTCGACCGCGAACTTCCTGCAGGATTACAATTTCCTCGACGATCGTCGTCGATCCAACCTTCGACCTTTATTGCCCTCGCCACGGTGGCCGTCTTCTCCCCGCGCGTGTTCACGCGGATCGTGAATTCTAGACTCGTCTTAAATTCAATTCGTCGAAATAGGATTAACGTGAACTGGATATGGGGTGGACGTTACGTACGGAGTTGGGTTACATTGTTTATCGAAGCGGGAATTTTTAGTGAACTTTTATCTTTCGACCGTGCTTTTGCTAGATATTTTTCGATTTTATTTTTATTTTTTTTTTTTTTTGTTAGCGAGCGGATTGAAATTCGTTGGAATTTTAATTACCCTCTTTTTCTTTATTCAACTAATTTTTGTCACTCGCTTCTCACGTTTCATTTCTTCGCAATGGAAAATATTTCATCGTGAATTTAATGTAATTACTCAAAGATTATAATTCTCCTTCATTCAACATTCTGTAAAAAAAATAAAAGTTGAATTCATCAATTAAAAATCAATATCAAAGAAAAAATAAATTCACAATTAAAATTCCGTCAAAACTTACGAATAAGTGTTAAATAACTCGTCCCACACTTATTATCAATCTTCGGATAGAAATAATTTTGCGGTTTAATTTTCTAAGGAACGATCGCCTCATCTTTTCGAAACTTTCAATCCCGTTCGAAATAAGGAAAGGTAAAATAAATTCGATGCCCGAGAGATCTCCGCCCTTCGAAAGTGGAACGTATCGCGAGGGACCACGCGCATTATATGCATTCCTCTTTCGTTTTATCCCCCCCTCGTTTGTCTCGCCCCGCCCCGAATAAGCTTCTAACTTGTTGGCTTGCATTGCAGGTAGATGCGGCCACGGGTCTCCCTGCGAGCAACTCTGCTACGAGCTTCACGATGGGATGTACGAGTGCGATTGCAAGGACGGGTACATCCTTCATAAAAATGGATACAGCTGCGCCGGTGAGTTCACCTCCTTAACTCATACTTCCCCTCCGATAGACGAATCTGTTTTCTTCCCGATTCTCGTGAAATTGCTTCACCAGCAGAAAACTTGGATTTCGAAATCTGCAGAAGGTCGAGCTCCCTCTCGATTTATCAAGGATAATAGATATTTTATTTTTCTTTTTTTTTTTTTTTTTTCTTTCTAGAAATATTAGTTAGAGTTAAGCAGATCGATAGTGCATTTGGAATTTGGAAGATTCTTTTTCTTTTTCATCAGATATTTAACCATTCTCTAAAGGCGAGCCAATATTTTATTTACATAGTTATTAACAGGTAATGTAATTAACTGTGATATAATTAACATAATTTAATAACAGGTAGAGCGAAACGTTTACCCTTTATCCGCGTAAATTAAAATTAACCCTCCGATAATTTCTCTCTTCTCTCGTTTAAAATCTTTAAATAAATACATTCCATCGGAAAGGAAAATCTCGAAATCTTGCACAGCAAACGTGGCGATCCGGGAAAAATTCTATCATCCGAGGCGAAATCCTTCGAGCGACGCGTAATCAGCGCACGCTCGAGACTTCATATCGCGTGGAGGAAATTCGCGTCGCGACGCGAAGATGGATTTTTTCTCCCCCGTATCGAGAGTCTCTCGACTCCAGGGCGGCGGAGTAACAAAGGTCCATGAGTTTTAGGGTGGGATAAACGCGCGATGTTCGACGTTCAATTTCATCGCGAGCCTTCAGTCGTCTCGAGACGCTCGCCTCGTGTTCCACCTTTTTTTCCTCCACGTTTCATCACGGGAATTCAATCTTCGACGACAAAATCAAATCGCGCTCCTCCTCAGTTTCGACCTCTCGTTGAATCCGTTGTAAACTATTCCGTGATTTTTTTTTATATATATATATATTTGTTTCGTGGACGGGATAATTGGGGATAATTGAATTTTCGAAGCTATTATCGATTGTTAGATGCTTGTGAAAGAATTCGCGAATCCCAAGTATTTTTGCAGTATCTTTTATTTATTCCCGTCGTTATAAAAATGAATTGTTATAAAAATTTTTTGGAATTTTGAAACGAACTTTTCGCGCTGCCAACTTTTCAAAGATCTTTCACAGAGTTTGGATTCTTACGGATTTTAAAAATTTCAAATCTAATGAATTTTCTCGCGTTGCAAACTTTTATATTGTTACTCTCGTTCTTTCGTTCGAAACTTTTTATGAATTTCAGGAATTGCGAATCTAATGACGAAGTTTTCGTGTTGCGAAGTCTGTTTCTTTGTTTCAAGAAAAAAAAAAAAAGAAAGGAAGCTTGCACGATAAAATCGCGAACACAGAGGAAATATTTTTACATGTAGAGAATTATTCGTTCGAAGAGTGAACGTGTGAACACAATGAACGCGTTAAAATTGTAAAGAGATGTACGAGTGAAGAGTATCTTGCACCGTGCTATAGCTTGTTCCACGTGGACATGTTTTTCGCCGGTGCAGAAGAAATTTAATGAAACGGGTGAAACGTGGAAATATCAAATTAAAAGTCGGCTTAATTAATGTAGTTTTAAAACGAGTTCCCTCGTCGACAACCGTTGCTTCGTCATAAACGTTGTTTCCCTGTGTGTTAAAATGAACCGGTACCATCGACGCAAAAATCTCATCTGAAGAATATTCCTGATTTTCTAAAGAGTCCGGTGTTATTTTCAAATTTTCAATTCAAAACTTGCCTCATCGGTACAAAGAAATAATTATTGAATTTGTAGATCATAATGGACGTCACATTTATTAATGTGATTGGAAGAAATAAAATTAATTAGAATTTTAGGTGTTGCCTTCCCAATGATTCAAAATAGGGGAAAAACACGAAATATTCGAGTTTTAATGCTCTGATGTTGTAAAAAATACAGTTCCAGTTGAAAAAAAAATTGAGATCTCGCCGCGCTCATGGAATTTTCCATCGAAATTATTCCGTAGAAAAATTTTTAATAAAAATTTCCAAAATACATAAACTTCGTTGAAAAATAAATACCTCCACGAATACTTTTGCGATTGACTGTATACGCCTACAGACGTATCTCACGTATTCCTATTTAATGGAGAAAATTCCTGAGCGTAAAATTATTGATTCAGACACAACAATTATTCATTTTCAATTATTCGTCGATACGATTCCCGAAGAAGAGCATTTAACGTTCAAGGATAGAACTGTCTTGTTGCCAAAACCACGTAAACGTGCTTTAATAATTCATCTCGTCGTTTCTCGTCAGAATGCAACAAGAAAATTGAAGTTACGTCGCTTCGTTCATTATTAATAATGAATCTTTGTCTAATGAATCTTGTCGTCCAACGGTAAATCGAAAGAAAATCGGAAATAAAGCTAAATACACATGATCGATCATGATTGTTTCGAAACGAGGCAGAGAAAATAATGCGACGCGTGTTGTTAAAAATCGCTTAAAAATTGACTTTTCGACAAGATTTTCCGCAGCATAAGAAAATCGATCTGCATCGTTTGATTTAATCCAACTTTCCATTTCGTCCAACGATAAAGCGCGAACTTGCTTTAGATAGAGTTGCTGGTAAATTTACTTAATAGGATCAAGTCTGTTATAACAGCCCCTGAGAATTCATTGTTCGAAGGGTTTAATATTTAGTTGATCTTTTAGAGAATTAGTTTCATGAGAATAAGTGTCTACCACTTTTGTGTATTTAATTATTTTTAAGAATCGTCTTTTCGACGATTACTCAAACGATCGCTCGAATGTTTATCTTTAATCTTTAAGAATAATTTATTCAAAAATTACGTTCAAATATATTTAAGGTTTTCGAGTTTGGTTAATTATTCAAAGTTGTTTACGACAAGTAGCCAACCATTCGAATCGTATTATATTTTCGATATTTCACGTATATCGCGCCTGCATTTAAATTTTCACAATAAACGCGTAAAAATCCACACACACACACACAGTTTCCAATGGCGCAATTTCAATATTCTATTTACCAAATGTATATACAAATATATCCGGGCAATATTGAGAAGAAAACGGGGAATCAAAGGGGAAAGCAGACTCGTTCGCGCGTAAATTGTGCACCGGCGTCGTTTTGCAACCGTTTCAAAGATCAGGGAGCGTTGCGAACGTCCGCCTTGATGCGCTCTCTGCCCGCAACTCGGCGGAAGTAGTTATGGGGTCCTCCTGGTCGTCGGCTGGATGGAATGGTCTGGTGCTCGTTCCAATCGAAAACGAACCGCACAAGTTCGAGGCGGGTTCAACAGTTTGGAAATAAGTAACCGAGTTTCTGCCAGGGATTGGAAAATGTTTCAAACGCGTGTTCCTACGAATTCGGTGCGACCCATCGCGAGAAATATCGCTGATTATATACAGGGATTATTCTCGAGATCGAACGACAGAAATTTTGAAGGGGAATCTTTTTATGCACGAACGTGACGACGTTTGTTCATGCAAATCCGTCATTTTGCGAGGAAAAAGAATACGGGGGAATATTGCAGAGAAATTTGTCTTATTTTCTAAAAACGGAATATTTTGCATCTCGTTTTCATATATAACATGTCATGCACGTGTACAAACACACGTATATCCACGAATGTAACATATTCAATGAATTACATTCGTGACGGTTCGAATAACAAAACTCTCGATTATTATTAACAATCGAATATCGAAAGTCTACTAATATTCCTTCCTCTACGTTTTCATGTATTCATCCAATTATTATTCTATTCTGTTTCACAAAAAAAAAGAAAAGATAAAAAATGATCTTCAAATTTCTTTCTCTTCCACGTCATTCCAACAAGTATCGAATACATCAATCTCCACGAACGTTTCCCAAATTTACTTCCCTTTCCGCCCGTCATCCCTTCGAATACCAAAGTTCCTGAATACCTCGACCATCCCCCGTTACGTGAAAACTCGTCACACGTGCCACGACGAGGAGCATTTCGCCCGGATGACGGTGGAAAGATGGATCGCGTTTGTAGACGAGCAAGGAAAAAAAAAAAAAGAAAAGAGGCATATTCGAATCTGTCTTGCACGAGAACTCGCGTCAAGTTTCTGACAAGGGATCGGTTGTGCACGCGTGCATGTATATGCGAACGACGAACGACCCTTTTGCCGAAACGTCGACTCCGCGTTCATTGCGCCACGCCAGCCTCCCATTCAAATAACCGTGCATCAGGCTGCTTACACGCCGATACGGGATGCCATTGAAACTTACACGGCGCGAAAAGATTATCGGAAAATCGTTTGTTCCGCGAGGCGGGGCACAGTTTCATGGGGGGGGGAACGACGACCGAGCCTCGTCTCGATCGCAATGTTAATTGTGGGTGAATATTAGAAAATTATTTCCTCTTATTTGTGTATTGATTTATTTCTTTATCCATGAATAGGAAAAATATAAATGTTTCATTCGAGGAATTAATTAAGAGAGACGATTTGGAGAAAATGATTCAATTTTGTTTTGTTTTCGATAATTGTTAATATTAAATGCTTGTTTATTTTTGAAACTTGGAGATCCGTATAATAAAGAGTGAAAAGAATATTTGGATAGTCTGTGATATAGTGTTCAAAAATTCGGAAACTTGGCAATATGAAAGGGTGGAGAGATAGAAGTAAATTAAAAATTCATCGGATACGGAGTTATTTAGAATAATTTCAAGCAGTTTTACATCGATAAGCACTTTTCTAATTCTTCCTTTTTCTTTTTTTGTCATAAATATGCATAATGGAACGAATAGATTGTCGTAAGAGCCAAGCCACAGATGAGACTATACATACATAATCGATGAAAAAATTACTTTATATTCTCTGACTTACCTTTTCTTGTAAAATCATCCCCTAAAGTATAGTTGCGGTGTATAACCCAGTAATTTGAATATCTCTTCTATTATAGACTATAGAGTATAGCTTGTGAAACGAAGATACAGATGAGAACACGAGAAGCATTAATCCTTTCGAAATTTCAAAAATTCCATTGAAATATTCTACTAGGAATAAAAGTAATA